ATGTTGGCTGGGAATTTCCAAGTTGCCTGTTATGCTTTCTCAGTTCACTGATGATGTTATTTCATTGGTTTACAGCCTTTATTGTTGCTACTGAGGTCTGTTATGTAAGTCATTGTTGTTTATAGGTAATTGACCTTTTTGCTAAGATTTTTCTCATTCTCTTTGATATTCTGGTAGTTTTGATATGACTTGTGTAGATATGTGTTTATTGTTACATGTCTCATTGAGGCTCCGTTTGTTTCTGTGAGGATTCTTGTCTGGAAAACTCTTAGCAATTTTGTTTTCAACCTTTTCTTTTCCAAAATCCTCTTTATCTGTCCTTCCTTGTAAATGTACATTGGGCTTCAGTATTTATGTATTTAGATATACACACATTTTTGATGATCGTTTGAAAGTGAAATTCGGGTATCATAGCATTTCACCTGCAAATATTTCAGCATGTGTTTTTTTGTGGACGAGAATATTCTCCTACACAATCACAGTATAATTGTGGCACCCAAAAAACTTCACGTTGATTCAGTAGCATCATCTAACACATAACCCATAACAAAATTCCTCCCAAACGTCCGTCCCCTAAGTGTTCTCGGACTTATTTTTTTTTTTTTCAATCTAGGATCCATTCAGGGTTCACCCATTGTTTTAGTCGACTTGCATCTCAGATCTATTTTAATCTCATATAGTTTCAGTTTTTTACCAAGAGTGTTAACTTATTGTCTGAAGGATGCTTATATTCTAGATTTGCAGGTCTGTCTCCTTCCTAGGTTTACCTTAAGCACTTTCTGGGCAGAGATATGTGCTGCTGTGTCCTTCCCATCATGTCACACCAGGAGCTCCTAATGTCACTTTGTTTTATTCTTGGTAATACTAAGTAGGACCACTCATAAGGTGGTGAGGGTCAATGTCTTCATTGTCATACGATAATTTCCCCTTTGCACTTAGTAATTCATAACTTTCAGAATACCTTGTTCCTCAAACACCTTTCATCTAGTGGTATATATTGATGATCTTGTTCCATAAAGGATTAGATTGGTATAAAATGGTGACTTTTCCCATTTACCCTTCCTTCTACATTTGGTGATTGGCAGTGTTCTGTAGAGAAGGACTTTTCTGTTCTCTGTCTCTCGCACTCTCCCTCCATATTTCCTTCTCTCCTCCGAACGCAGAGGAACAGGGCCCTTCCTCCTGTCTGTGTCATGTTAAGAGCTGATGGGTTCCTGCTGAACCTTCAGGAGGCAAGAGCTTGAAAGACCTTCCACAAGACCTTGACCAGGGCACGCCACTCCTTCAGAGTCCCTGTGTTCCATGGTGAGTAGAGACCTCAGGCTTTGCCCATGGTACAGACCAAGAACCTGAAACCCACAGAGGGTAAGTGACTTGCTCAAGGCCATGTAGAGAGGGGAGAGCAGGGACAAGAACCCACGTCTCCTAGTGGCACTTTTAATTTAGCCAAGAACTCAGTCACTCAGGAATTGAGTCCTGTTCCTGTGTAGGCCTGAACACACTGCCCTAGCCCCAGCTTCTCTCTGTGGGGCACAGATCCGGCTTCTCTCTGTGGGGCGGAGACCTCAGAAAGAGCAGGGTGTCTGCTGCCTGGGCCCCAGGGACTTTCTAGACACACACTTTGACACACATCTCTGGGCCGTCTGCACAATTACACTTTGAAAGTGCATTTGAACCCCTTGATTCTTTTTGTCATTGTTGTTCATAATAGTGTTCACTCAAAGGCAAGAACATGCTTTTAAACTGACCTTCTAAACTCAAAGCTTACACCATAAAGGGACACATGAAAAGAACAATAAGCACAGTCTCCATGGGTAAATGTCACTTGAAGGCTCCTCCGGGGAGCTCTATGGGAAACAGGCACAAAGCTTCTAAGCTGCCCTCACAGCTGATGGATGGCCCTCTGGGTGGAAGTCTTGTGACCAGGGAGAGGCCCCGCTGTTCCCTCTGCGCTGGGAACATCATCCCCACCCTCTCCATCATGGCTCAGGGCCACCTGCCTGCCTTCAGGAGCCCAGGGAACAGTAGGGGTGGTTGCATTTTATCGCATGGAAGCTTCTGGGCAGGAGAAAGACATGCAAATAGGAGGAGAGAGGAAAGTGGAATATTTGAAGCCAGCGGCCTGACCCAGGGTCCTGGCTCTGTCACTTCTGAGTCGTGAGAACTTGTGTAAGTCACCAAGCTTCTGTGAGAGTCACTCGGGTGTCCAACACCCATTCATGGAACACTGGCCACAAGCTGGACCCCCGGGACCTGGGAGACCAAGAGAGTTCTTTCTTCCTCCATGGTGACAATTCTTACCAGGGGTTTTACTTGCTCCTCACTGCTGTAGCAGATTACCAGTGGCTTTACACTAGAATTTATTATCTCACAGTTCCAGAGGCTGACGTCTGAGATGGGTTACAGGGGATGAAGGAGCTGGCAGTCTGGCTGTGCTGGAGCCTTCTCACCCCTGACACCTGCCTGTCCTCCTCTGCCTGTGGCCAGTTCCTCTGCCTACAAAGCACAACACTCCTGTCTCTGCTATTATCATCACGTCTCTTTCTCTTCTGTGTCACATCTTCTGCCTTTTTCTTATATGGGTCTTCAGGACTCCATAGTTCCCTCCTGGAGAATCCAGGATGACCTTCCTCCCCATCACAAGATCCTCCACAATCCCATTTGCAAAATGGCTTTTGCCATGTGACATTTGCAGGCTATGGGGATTAGGACGTGTGTATCCTCGGGAGCCAGCCCACCACACCACGTCCTGTGCAGCTTATGTCTGTTCATCGTACACCTCTGGGTCTCCCCTGGGTGGGGAGATAAGCCTGCCTGATAACCCCACACAGATACTGGGAGGGTGAGTGAAGAAATGAGTCTTGACATGCTTTGGAGTTGAGAAGGAAGGAGGGAACATTCCAGGTAGGCTTTAGGGGATTAGTATGAGCTTGTCAAGGACATTCTACATGGAGTGAGCAGCTTATGGAAAGGTATAGGGGCCTGGGCTCAGATACTCAGCATAGAAGAAAAGCAGGTAGAGTAGAGTGGCCCAGAGGGCGATGAGGCTGGGCAGTAGGTGGCCAGGTCATGGAGAGCCTTGGAGGATACCCTCATGGACTGGGTTTTATTTTACAAGGAAGCTGTATGTGTGGTAGTTATTGCCATTATCTTAGGAGTCATTGTTTGAGTTTACACCTGTGCTGCCATTAATTTGCTATGTAATCCTGGAAAAATTACTAAACCTCTGTGAGACGCTGAAATATCTGCTTCGTCAAGCTGTTCTGAGAAGGAGATGAATTCTGAGGTTTGCAAAGCACTTAGCAGAGTGCCTGGAATGGTGAAGGGAGCCAGAAGGGATTTGTTGTTGTTCTTATTTTCTTAATAAATATAATCATCATTGTTAATGGCAATGGTGGTGGTGATGGGGAACCCTTGGAGCATTGCAGCCAGGCTGCAGTGTCGTGGTCAGACGTGCTTCGTAGAAAGATGACCTGTGGAGCTCTGGGGGGCTGAGGGGTGAGCCACACTCGTGGTCAGAAGAGCAGCAAGGTGAAGATAATCCGGGTGAGAGATGAAGAGGCTGAGAGCATCGGTGGGTTTGAGGGAGACACTGGTGGACGTGGGGTGTCCATGAGCAGTCTTTGCCCCTGTTGTCCCATGCCTGTATTAGAGGCCATCTAGTGCTGTTGCCTCTGTGCTCGCTTTTCTGACAGGGACACTGAGGCACAGCAAGGGGATGGTGCCTTGCCTTAGTCTCCAGATGAGACCATTCTGAAGGGACAGGTTAGGGGGCTCAGGTCCCCAGCCAAGTGTGGTGCAGAGGCTTCTGGTCACGTGCAGCTCAGTTCTTCCCCATGGCCATGGGCTCCCTCCCCCATGCCCCCACTCCTCCATGCCTTAACCCCTCTTTCCAGCCCATCCTCCTCCCACACCCCATCAAGAGCACCTGTAGACTCCTGGAGGTGTTGGACTGAGGGGATTTGGGGTTTTAAGGGAGGAAAATGGCAGGGCTAAGTGGTGAGGTCTAGTGGAGGGTGGGGCTGCCGGGGAGGGAGGTGGCCCGGGTTAAAACCAGTCCAAGAAAGCAGGAGTCCAAAGCAGCACGTGCTCACGGGTTGAGGACTGGATGTCCTCTGTGGTCTTCCATTCACACCCTCCATACATCTTCAGGAGGAAACCGGTTCAATAGAGTGTACTGTGGCAAGACTCCGATTGTTACTTCAATCATCTCTTACCCGGCACAGATGTTGGAGGAAGAGATATTTCAATGCCACGTTCAAAAGAGCCGTCATTTTGAAACATAGTGAATGGCTTTCAGAGAGTGATGTAATGATGTAATGTTGTTATTTTTAATGGAGTCTTTAAAAAAAATTATTTTCCTTTAGTGTAGATGGATGCATGCTCCAGGACAAAAATAATCTAAGGGAGCGACCATACAGGTGGACCATGTTAAGGAAGCAACAGGTATAGACTCAAATTTACAAATCAGAATCACAGGTCAAATTTTCAGATAACAGAGGGTTAGATACAGGGCAGGTTCCTTTAAATGTGTTGGTACATCTCAGAGGTCTCATACCTGGCAACTGACGACTTTGCAAGGACACTCGGGGAGAGAAAACAAACAAAAAGCTCATAGAGATTAGATGAAAAAAGTCTGTGCAATGATTAGAAGAACTTGATCTCTTTGTGTGTCTCCCTGCAGTATTCATAGTGACATCAGTGAAATGCGTTGGCATTCAGGGCTTGGCAGGTGTCAAATGATGGAGCTGACTGTCCTATGTTGGCTGGTGTGGGTGCCTCTTTGTGAGAACACAGCATTGACAGGCACCTTGGAGGCCATTGGGTGGTGTCATGCACATGGAGCCTGTGCTGAGAGAGGGGAAGCCACACTCTGGGTGACCGGGCCAGGGCTGGAAAGAACCCCCGCCACTGGACTCCCACCAGCATTCCTTCCAGTCTCCTCTACTGTTTGCATTTCTCTGTCACTCCCCAGCACACTGACCTTTTCTTTTTTCCAGGAAATATCAACCACTGGCGTCTGACAAGGTGGATGATGACCTGGGTGCCCTGCAGCTTGGTAGGTGTGGCCAGTGCCTCTCTGCTGTGCCCATCAGAGTCCTCTCTGATTGCTCTGCCTGGGGTGGTGGGTGGTAGGTGCTCTCTCCTGGCTGGGGCGGGGCCCCCTGTCATGTCTCCTGGCCTCAGGAAGCAGGGGCAGGCTTCTCTCCTCTCTGTCGATGTCTTCTTTGGCTACTGACTTTCTCTCCTGGAGAAATCCTTTTGGGAAAGCTGGTCACTTCTGGGTGCAGGCTGGGGTTGTGGGACCAGGGGAGCCCCTTCTGCATTTGCAGTTTCTTTTAAGACCATTCAGAACCTACTGAGGTTTTCAGAAGACAGTTCATGGTTAAAATAAGAGTATTGCTCTGCCTGGAGAGATTCATCCTTTTTAAAAATTTATAAACAAGGGGGAAGGAGACAGAGAGGGAAAGGGGAAGAAAGAGCGAATGAAATGGACCAAATTATCCTAGGCACATGCACGAAGATACCTCAATGCATCCCAATTTTACATGTAACAAGAAGGCATCAATTTAAATAGAAGTGCCTGGTGTGGTGGCGCACACCTGTAATCCCAGTGGCATGGGAGGCTAAGGCAGGAGAATCATGAGTTCAAAGCCAGCCTTAGCAACTTTGTGAGGCCCTAAGCAACTTGGCAAGACCCTGTCTCGAAATAAAAAATAAAAGAGCTGGGGATGTGGCTCAGGGGTAAAACACCCCTGGGTTCCATCCCTAGTACCAAAAATAAACAAAATAAATAGGAGGAAGACTATAGAGGAAAGGAAGGGAACAGGGGAGGGAGGAGAGAGGAAAAGAGGTAGTCCTGGGGATTGAAATGGAAAAAGCTGTGTTATATGCATTTGTGGCTATGTCAAAATAAACCCCACTCTTGCGTATACCTATAATGCACTAAAAAGTTTATAGACGTACTATCGAGGTATGGAATACAAATACCCAGGTGTATAAGGTGCACACACCCTCAGCGTTCAACCCTGGGCATTTCTCGTGAGGATACATTTGCGCAACTGCCCTCTGAGATCAAGATAGGGAACGTTTTTTTCCACTCTAGTTTTGAAGCAATTTTTTTCTCCCTCTGCAATTCTGTACCCTCCAAGATTGAGGGCTTGGCAAAAGCCACTGTAGAACTAAGGACAACGGGCCAAGGACTGGACGGGAAGGGATGGACTCCCGTGCTGTCGCCGCTTGCTCCCCTCCTGGAAGCCAGCCGGTTACCTACTGGGCCACTCTGGCTGACGAAAGCTATTCTCACATGCTTTTCTTCTCCATTTTTTAAGCATTCCCTTTTAAGCTGCAGGAAGAGAGCAATGCCCCCGTCAGAAGTTCCTCGTGTGAGACGTGCGCCTGACAGTCTGCTTTGATCAAGTTGAAAGCCAGGGGCAGGCCTCTGAACTGTGCAGGCAGGGCTTTGTTTATTCTGCTTAACTCCCTTCAGAGGTAACGGAGCCTCTGAGTTTTAATCACCAGAAATGGCTGGTGGGGATCACTGGGGCCTACCCAGGAAGGGCACGTTTCTGAACCTGGCTGTGCGCAGAGTGAAGGATGGAGACAGGAAGCCCTGGCATTCAAAGCCTTCTGGGAGGTGCTGTACTTGAAGATTTTCTGGTGAAAGCCACTCGTGTTTGGACACAAAGCAAAGCAGCTTCTGGCCTTCAGAACCCAGAGAGCATCTATTAGAAGGAAGGCCTTTAGCATTCTTAGAAGCCAGGTGTTTGAAGTGTGAGTGTGTGTGTGCACGTGTTTCCTGAGACAGGCAGACACCCTCTGCTACTGACTCAGCTAGAGGTATAGAAAAGGAAAAGGGAAAGAGACCAGTGGACCCCATCACTAAGAGTGTTGGTGGAGTTTTTTTTTTTTTTTTTTTTAAGTACTAGGGATTGAACCCAGGGGTATTAACCAGTGAGCCACATCCCTAGCTCTTTTTATTTTTTATTTTGAGACAGGGTCTCCCTAAGTTGCTGAGGCTGGTTTTGAACTTGTGATCCTCAGCCTTCCGAGCTGCTGGGATACAGGTATGCCACTGCACCGGGCCCCACTAAGAGAGTTTATGGGAGACAGAAGAGTAGAGTTGGATTGGGGGAAGGGGTTGCCACAGTGGTGTAGAAAAAGAATGTTAAATTTGGTTACTGGCATGGCATCCCCTTCCCCACCCTGATGCATTTTCTGTGGTTCAATTCAGTAAACTTTTGTTAGCAACTCCTGCCTGCCAGGGTGTGGGCGAGGCTCCACTGAGGGCAGACCCAGGTGAGCGAAGGACACTATGCCTTCTTGGAAGACAGAGTTGGGTGGGACCAAGGAGGAGAGGTGTCTTCTCACAGCAGTGCATGAAGCACATGAACAGTGTGCTTGGCTGCCTCAGCAGACATGGAAGCCAAGTCCTGTGGTGGGTTCTGGAAGTTTCCATAGTGAGGTGGCATTTAGATTGAACTTAAAGGATGGGCAAGGTCTTGCCACATAGGCAAGGGGCAGGAACCGCATGGGCAATGGCTTTTGGGGGGGGGGGGAGAGAGAGAGAGAGAGAGAGAGAGAGAAAATGAATGAATGGCTGGAAGAGAGTGACCTGGAGGGAAGTGGGTGGTTGGTGGGGACGAGGCTGGAGAAGACTGGGGAGGCAGAGAGGACTGTTTCTGTGCTAAAGGGGTGCACAGGAATTTGCTGGGCAGGAAGGAGCCCTTGAACATCTGTGCTGTGCCTTTAGGGCTCTATCTAATTTAGATATAGGATGGATTTTAGGGTAAGAAACCGCACACTGGAGACTGGAGAAGGGCTCTTGGGATAGTCCAGAGATGTGATGAGGCCCCTATTCTTTCTGGGAAGACCTCTGGGTACTTCAGGGGTCTGTTCAAATACCATCTCTATGGGACTCTTTGACCCTTTATGGCAGAATTCATTGTCTCACCCCTAAAACCTTGCACTCGTTCCTATTTCTGCACTTGACCCTGTTATGTTATAAGTTGGCACTGTCTCCCTCCGGGCAGGGGTGGTACTTCTTCGTCTCTGTACCTCCTCTGTCCCTCACAGAGTCATCCGAGAAGCACCCGAGACACTGATTCCCGTAGCATTGGAGGAAGGAAGGTGGAGGGCACACACAAGACATTCCGGAGGCAGAAAAATCCAGAGGCAGGAGCAATGCCGGGTGGGAGAGAGTTGCAGTTTCAGCCTGGGGCACTGGTGGAGGGCGATGGGGTCCTTTATCAAAACCAGAGCCTGGCAGATGGCTGAGTTTCTGATGTTGGATGCTTCTAGAACATATCTTGACCCACTAATATAGATGTCACATTCAAATTGCTCATACAGGAAAAGAGCTACGTAGCCCATTCTCTCTGTAGAATCCAAAGGATGAGCATCTTTCTCCTTGGTATCTTTGACTCCTACTTGAAATACCATATATATGTGTGTGTATATACATATGTACATATCATATATATATATATATATATATATACATATATCTATGTATACACATACACACAAAAAATTTTTATTTCATTTTTATTCCTCCACAGGGTAGATAAAACCATTTGTATGGGAAAACAAAAACCCTTGCTTCTTTCCTTTTCCACCAGACATTTATATGAGAACCTTAAAAATAGCATTTGCAAACCACTGGCTTTGTAGCTGGTTCAGTTGGCTTGGCCAACATGTCATTCCAGAGCGCTTTGTTTTTCCCTTGCACAGCGGTCTCGCCACGTCTGGGCCTGAGGCCTTCTATGTGGTCCTGAACCCGCTCCCTGCACTGGGCCAGTTCCTCCCTGTAGAAGCCAACGGAGGCTGCCTGCCTCCTCTTGCCTGTGCTTCATGGAGTCGGCTTCCTTGGGCTCCCAGCCTCCACCCCGGACCACTCTTGGCCTAGGGAGAGCGTGTTTCAGACTGGGCCTCCTCCCTGACAACCCCAGACTAAACAGAAGCCTCCAAATAGGCTTACATACCGCCGCTTCTGTGCCATCAGGAAGTAGCCTGGCCCGGTCACCACCAGGAGACCTTCTGGGCCTGGCAGTCACTAAGGTTACTCTGCCCCTTGTCTGGGGCCCCAGGTTCCCAGGGTGGAATTAATTACAGATCTCTGTTCTTCCAGCCAATGGTCTCCATGTCAACCTCTGCAAAATTCTGCCCATCAGCCTCCCTTCTCCCTCTTCCTTTCTTCCTGCTGATTTCTCTTTATCTTCACCAACCACTGTCTCTGGAACTTCTTCCTCCAGGAGCGACCATTGCTCAGGCTTTGCCTGTGTCTTTTTCGCTTGTGTATGTATTCTCACACGTGTGCGGCACTATAGCTACATGGTATTGTGTGCCTTGCTGGGTCTCTGACTTTCTCCACTGGGCACCATGTTGTTAAGAGCCATTTCTGTTGCTGGGTGAAATGAAGACATCTGTTCTTTATTATTTCAAGTTCCTTTTATAAAGCTATGGTCACACAGGGGTTGGGGTTGTGGCTCAGTAGTAAAAGCACTTGCCTAGCACGTGTGAGGCCCTGAGCTTATCCCCAGCACGGCCAAAAAAAAAAAAAAAAAGAATAAAAAAGCTATGGTCACAGGATAGCTTTTACAGAGATTCCCATTAAGATGGCGTCTCATTTAAATTCATCTTCTTGTGTAAATTCCAGACCTTTTTTGGAGAGGCTGTACCAGGGATTGAACTCAGGGGCATTCGACCACTGAGCTACATCCCCAGCCCTATCTTGTATTTTATTTAGAGTCAGGGTCTCACAGAGTTGCTTAGCACCTCACTTTTGCTGAGGCTGGCTTTGAACTCTTGATCCTCCTGCCTCAGCCTCCCAAGCTGCTGGGATGACAGGCGTATGACACGGTGCCCAACCCAGACAACTTCTTTTTTTTTTTCAGCCCAAAGGTAGAATCTGTCTCCTCATTCACCGAGTATCAGGCATTTGCCTTGTGCTATGGCTAATTCTCCCCTATGGGAAATAAGGAGGCTATAGAGGAAGATATAAGCTATGTGTCCTGGGGATATTGACCTGTTGACACCCCCCACTCCACAATAGGCCCACTCTAGCTGCATGTGTAGGGGACTGCATTCACAGTGCCCAGCCTTGGTGGCCCCCAGGAGTGCATCCTGCTCAGATCTGCCCTGCTCAGCTTCACCAGCACACTTGCCTTGGGATGGTTTCTCCCTGGGTCCCCTATCTGAGTGCTCTGGTAAATACAGTGGCAGTATTAGAAGGGCCGGTTTTGGGGGGCTGGGGGGAGGGTTCACCCAGCTAGAAATTTACAGGCTGGTGCTGCTGAAGACTTTGGCGGAGGCTCTCAGGGCCTCCGTTGCTCCAGCTGTAAGAGGACTATATCTGAAATCTGGCTTAGCATCTCTTCTGGCAGGAGATCCAGGACAGGTAGGAACTTAGGATGGCTGAATGGTTAGCAGTCGGCCTGGGTTTATATCCTGATATCCTGTCTCTGCCACTTCCCATCTGCCTGACTTGGGGTCAGTGACTCCCCAAAGTCTGTCGTTGGGGGTATTCATTTTATTATCTTGGGCTGAGGGTGCAGCTCAGGGGGAGAGGCTTGACTGGTGTGCATGAGGCCCTGGATTTGATTCCTAGCACTTAAAAAAAAAAAAAAAAGCACGATTCTTTTATTGGGCCATTATAGGGGTTAGGCGACACAATCCAAGAGGCCAATAATGTAAAGCACAACAGTAATAAACTATGACTAGAGTTGTTTTTGCAGAAACGTTTCAATTTCTTTCCTAATTCTGTCCTCCTCGCGTTTTTCTCAGGGTGAGAGATGTGTGCATCGTGTCTGCTGTGGGTAGGAGTGCCTCTGGGCTAGGCTTTTTCTTGGCCGGGCTTGGTGGCTCGGGTCCTAGGCACTCCATTCATGCTGTATCCCCACGTGGCATTTCCTAGTGGACCCGTTGCTAAGTATCACCCACCGGTCGTGTCCTTGTGGCATAACCAGGGAGGGATCGTAACAAGGAACGAGGTCCCTCTTGATCTGCTTTCTTTCCTTCTGCTGAAGCCCTGAGGCCTCTAGCAGAGGCGGGGTGGAGGCTGTAGGAGCCATCCTAACCCCCAAACCTTCTCTGGACTTGTCACACAGCACCATTGACTTTATGTTCTGTTCTCTGTGAGTCATGACGTGGTGTTTTTTTCTCCCCCACCCAGAGGATGTGGATGATACATTGATAAAGGAAGAAGTCATCCTGTCCCCAGCCCCATCAGTACTCAAGCTGCAAGTAGCATCAAAGCCAATTGACCTCTCTGTAGCAAAGGTAGGTGTCAACTTGGAAGTGTCAGGAGAGTTCCACGTTAAAATACATCCTGATATGGCTGCGGTGATTTTGATATTTTTGGTGCAGTCCTTCTCATTGTAATATCTTGATCATTGTTAAAATGGAAATTTGGGTGTGATGTAGAAGATAACCTTACTCAAGGGTCAGGAAAATGGTTCAGGTCCTGCTGAGCTTCCCCTAGATGGAGAAGGGTGGGTTACGCCCGCCCCGTCCAAATACCACAGGACCCAGTTCCTTGTGTGGCTCAGAGCGGCTTTACCGCATCCCTAAAGGACACCCCCAGAGTGGGTGGGATCAGGATAATTGTTCCCATGAGGTTGGCTCTGATCCTAAGCCACCCTCCCACACTGGGCTCTGGCTGGGTTGCTATGAGGGAAGGACAAGGAGGGCAAACGATTCCTCAGCACTGTCCAGGTTCACGCCTGGGGCCTCCTGATGAGGTCAGTGGTCACAGGACACAGGGTGCCCGTCCCTGGCCTTAGCGCCTGCTCTGCAGGCTGTCCTGGACTCCCTGCTGTGCTCAGCCACCAGCATGATCTCACTGCTCCCCCTGGCCAGAGGCTGTCCTTCATGGGCCTTTCAGCCAGGATCCAGGAGGAAAAACAGACCCTCCTGGGGACACAGCTGGCTTCCTTCTCTTCCCATTTACTACAGATTGACTCAGCACACAGGTCACAAAGTACAGGGTTTTCCTAGAGGTTTGTCCTTTCCTTTTCCATCTCCCTCCTCTCTGCCTCCCTTTCTTTCCCTTCCCAGAGGATGGAGACACACTTCAGGAGCCCCAAAGCGAGGAGTGGGTGCTCTGGCCTTATAACCACAAGGCCAGAATTCTTTGCAGAGGGTACTCCCTTTTGGGGTCAGACCTAAAGATCATGTCCAAAAGCAATGAGAAAAGGGGAGGCCGACAGAGAAGGCGGCTCAGGACCCACGGCCTCCACGGCAGGTAGAGCCCAGGATTGCAGGCTGTGGACTACACTGTGCTGAGCCTGAATCACTCTGTGGCTCAGATAATGGAGATGGAGGTTAGCCAGAAAATCCAAGTCCTTGTAGTTGCTAGGTTCTTGAGAAATGAGAAACGCAGTTTAAACACATGGGGGATTGTAGTTGGCACAAGAAAGGGAACTGGCCATGAAAGGCAAATTCATACATTCAATGTGTGTCATGGGCCCACATTTGGTGACACAGAGGCTTCTGCCATAGAGATTTCCTTACACTCAAGGAAAGAAATAATCACCAATTCTAGTGGAAAGTATTTGGAGACTATAGAAAAAGCCTGACCTGAAAGTTGGCTCAGGAGTGTGTTGGAGAATCTACCTGTGGGTCCCTGAGGCTTCAGGGTCCCCTTGGATCTAAAACCATGGCCATGAGAGGGCAGTCCAACATGGGGGTGGGGAGGCTCTGCCTTCCCCTCTGAGGGTCTGACAGTGGAGAGGGGTGGGTCCTTCCTGGGCTCTGGACTATGGAGCTTGGGTTGACGGGAGGTGGACAGTGAGCTCAATATCATCTCGGAATCTAAAGACAGGACTCTGAAAAATGAACGGGCTGCTGCCTTTGGAGCCCCTTCTTGGGGTGGTGGGGTGTTCAAGCAGAGTTCACTGAGGATCACTCAGAGGTGGCCCTAAAGGGCTAGACAATAGATATTTTTTACTTTGCGTGACCCATGGTCTTTGTTGCAAATACTCATCTCTGCTGTTGTAATGTAAAAGCAGCTGTAGACAAAATGTAAACAAATGAGCACCTCTGTGTATCAATAAAACTTCATTTACAAAAACATGGGGGCCAGATTTGGTTTGTGGGTTGTAGTTTGCCAACCCCGTACCACAGCACTGGTTCTCAGACCTGGCTGCAAAGTGGAATCACACGGAGGCAGTTTGAAAAGTACTGATAGTCGGGCAGGGGAGGTGGCTCGGCGTGGCATGTGGGGAGTTCTGGGTTTGATCCCCAGCATTACAAAAACAAAACCAAAATAAAAAACAAAGCTGCTGATACCAGAGTCCCTCACTCAGGAATTCAGACTTAATTGGAGGCAGGTTTGTCAACTTCTAGTCTTTCCTATAGAAGTTCAGAAGACTTCCAAGTCCCTTGCAAAATGAAAATCTTGTGTTTCAAGTCCTCTGTAAGGCACCTACGAAGATCTTGGCCCATGTCAGCACAGCCTTGTTTGGCTTACAAATGTGCAGAGGTGAGACCCTTAGGGCCGGGTTTCTCTTCCCTCAAATATGAGAAGAATGGGCTTGCAAAATAAAGGGAGCCCAGCTAGTGAAGGCACTGCCCTGCTATAATTTGAGTCCAGCTGAGCACCGAGCACTGCAGCAGTGTTTGCTTTTAAAACAACCAGTAAGACTTTCTCCTCTCCACAGGAAATAAAGACCCTTCTGTTTGGTTCTTGCTTTTGCTGCTTCAATGAAGAATGGAAACTTCAGAGTTTTTCCTTCAGTGAGACGGCTTCCTTAAAATATGGCATTGTGCAGAACAAGGCAGGTTGACCTTCGGGTTCTCAGGGGGCTTTCCGCTGGGTCACCATGGTCGGGATGGGGACATCCCCTAGCTGGGGAATGCCACAAGCCTTGGCTGGTTTATCCAGGGCTGGCCACTTCATGTTGGACAAGGTATCACTTGGTGCAGGAACTTCCCCGTGTGACTGGTGGGGTGAGAGCTGGAAATCCAGACCCTCTTCTTAGCAGTCATTCTAACCGAGCACCCACTTGCTAGGAGTGGTCCTGGGTGAGGGGGAGCAATAGGAGGCCCTCAGTCTGCTCTGGTGCACTGCAGGTGCTGTTGATGCTGCTCAGTTCCACAGACCCTTTTGGGAGGTGCTACAGGGGATTGAACTCAGGGGCACTCGGCCACTGAGCCACTTCCCCAGCCCTATTTTGTATTTTATTTAGAGACAGGGTCACTAAGTTGCTTAGTGCCTCACTTTTGCTGAGGCTGGCTTTGAACTCACGATCCTCCTGCCTCAGCCTCCTGAGCTGCTGGGATTACAGGTGTGCACCACAGCACCTGGAAATTTCATGTTACAGTATGGGAGGCGATAAAGTCACACCTGGAGTGCTGAGGTGACTCACAAGCTGAGCTCACATAAGCAGATGCTGCTGAAGGGGGCTCATTGTTAGCTGAGGTAGTCAGGAAAGACTTCCTGGAGGAGACGGCCTTTAGGATAGGTTTCAAGGGCTGGGTAGACAATTGTATAGCCTGTATACATTGAAGCATTTCCCTGGATGACAGGAAACCTATGGTGACACCTGTGGCTTCACACCTAGCTGGTTGTGAACAGCTAAGTTCCTCCCCTGGCACATTATAGACTAATCCCTCCTCTGGGGGGCCTTGTTACCCCCTCTCTGTGACTCAGGGTCAACGTTGACTGCAGACAGTCACATGTTAGGGTCCTGTTTGTGAGGGAACAGAGCAGGGGGTGCTTGAGCCCTGTAACTTGGGGCTGGGGGCTGGGGAGGTGGAGCAGAGCTCTGCCCTGGGCCCCTTGACCTTGGTGGTAACACGCGCTTCTCTGCAGGGCGGCCCCTGTGGGGTTCTGGCGGCCGTCCAGGGCTGCGTGCTGCAGAAACTCCTGTTTGAAGGCGAGAGCGGAGCCCGCTGCGCGCGGTAAGTCAGGGTTCATTCTGGCAATAGCTTCCTTTCCCAAGGCTTCTCCGGAGCATCCAGAACAAACAAGCAAGGAAGCGTGTGTGTTCCCTGATATTTCCCGTCTCCTGGAGGTCACGACAGGAAGGGGTCACGGCAGTGAGCTAGCAGGGTGGTGCTGGCCGTGTTAAATGGACGTGCGGGCATTCGTTTCTGGGCGCGGGGAGGATTGGAGGGCTCCCACATGCTAGGCACTGCTGGACAGTGTGGAAATGGGGCCTGCTGCCTCCTCGGAAGGGTCGATACCGTCCACACCCACGTCGATCTGCTGATCCGTGACCAAGTCTAGGGCTCCCCTCCCTCCCACGTTATCTCCCCTCTGCCAACGGTCAGAACCACACATTCCAGCACGTGGCTTCCTCTCCCTGCAGCTGTTTATTTTCCATTTTCCATGCTAAGTGCTTGCACCTGGGCACCCCCATCTCCTCCCCATCTTGCTGGAACACCTCTATGCAGGCATGATGGACGCCCGGGAGAACCACATGCATATCTCCTCCCCAGAGATGCACCATGAGGTAACCCTGTACCATGGTTGGTGCCAAGAGCAAAGGATGGGTGAGGTCCTGGCCGATGCCAGAGGCTGGCGAGGCCTCCCAGAGGAGGTAGCGGTCATACCATCTCCTCTTTGCATCCCAGTTCCTAGCTCATAGCAAGTCACCCCAGAGTTACCCCCACTTCTAGCATTCACCCTTTGTTTTTCCTTGTAGTTGAAAATATTATACATACAATTAAAAGACATTTTACTCTGATACCTGAAGGAGGAAGAGAGTCCTTGATTCCCCTTCACACGCGTCCTTGAAGGTATGCAATTTCTCAAGAGAGAAAACATTCCCAGGAGTCCCCTTGCTCCAAGTTACAGTCCAGTGGATTCTGAAGCCATAGCTTAGCTCTGCCAGTTCCTGAACTTTATTGAAAGATCCTTGCTCTTTGAAATAAGTATTAAAGAGCCTTTTAAAAAGAAAAAAAAAATCGGGTTAGGTCTTAGGTGTTGTTTAGATAACAGGACCCACTCCCCTTTACTCACAGGTGCCTGGGAGAGATTCCAAGCTCAGCTCTCAAAGGAGACACATTTCCCCAGCATGAATGATTTGACCTTGACAGGGTCCAAATGAGGGGAGCTTTCCACACTTACCGTTTTATAATTCTTCAAATAGTTTTACAAGATAATAGTCAGGTGGTTTCTGTCAAACCCAAAGGAGACTGCTAACCACAGGCACAGCCGCCATTGCAGGATCGCACCCCTCTTCTTGTGTCTCTTTGCTTCCCACCCTGGTCTGTGCAGGGTCCTTCCCCTCTGCCAGTTCTGGAAGATTGGCCCAGCAAGATGATGGTGGGCAGAGACTCCCGCCATTCATTCCTGGTGAGACCAACACAGTCCTCAATGCCCAAGAACACTCCTGACTGGGTGGCATCTGATAAGTGAGAGTCCTCTCTCTGGCTGACTTCAAAGGGTGCAGAGGCTCTGTGAGCACACGGGCCTTTCCTTCCCTCCCTTTTCTAATTTGCCCTGAGAGAGCGTGCAGAGCATGCCTTCCAGGTGTTTGGCAGGGCCCAAGGAGACACATGTGGCCTTCCCCTTGTGGCACTTAACGATTGAACAGGACAGGCGGTGAACGGGGACATGCAGGCTGCTAAGGGGCCACCCAGACGTGAAGTGGGTGAGTGCAGGCTTCCTGCAGGGGCACATTTTTATCTTAGTGATAGCTGAGGGAGGAACACAGCCTTGGATTCCCCATCACACACATCCCTGCACACTCTGGACCCCCACCCCTCATCTCTTCCCCTCCTCCCAGGCAAACACCCTCAAGTCTTCCAAGTCGGCAGGCCTGTGTGCTCAGATGCTCTGCCTGCCCGCTGCTCTGACCTTGCCCCTTGCCTGGTGACCCCAGTTAGGATAAACCAGGCCCCGCCTCCGGTAACTCCACCAAGCCGCATCCTGTTCCTCAGTGACCTTACCTGTCACCAGGTAATGTCTGTCTCTTCTTTCAGCAGAATACAAGTCCCACGAGACTTGTATTTGGGTTGCCTGTTCTACAGCGTGTCCCTGGCATGTAGCCCAGTGCCTGGTCCACGGGAGAGGCCCTCAGGATTTTTGTTGAATGAACACATGGACTGATGAATGAGTTATCCAGACAAACAGGGAGGGGAGGCGGCCTGGGCCTGGTATTCCAGTAAAGAGAACAAGATGTGCGAGGGCCTGGGGGCAGGGAGAAGAGCAGCTGGTAGCCTGGGGTGGCCTGGTGGTGTTTGGAGGGGCAGGGTGTGACCTGGGGCTGGAGGGTGGGATACAGCTGGGGCTGCCAGAAGGGCTCCAGGCTACGATCTTAGAGCCAGTTTACAGCCAGTCTTAGAGCCAGTTTAGAGCTGAGGAGAGATGTCCCATGACTCATTTCAGCCCGAAGCCCCTTCTAAGTTACTTTTGATCTTCAGCTTTGACATCGGGGAAAGTCATGGATCACTTCCCAGTAGTCAGGATGGAGCATTTCAGTAGGAAGGACCCATTCTGCCCAGGACCTAAGACTGGCTTGATTCCTTGTCACCCACCATCCCACTCCATTAAGGGATGCTGAGCTCTACTTTCTACACCAAAGAGGGAATGGGGACTTATGGGGACTTGGAAGGCAGAAGAAGCCCATCCAGCTTGGGGGAGCAAAGGGGGCTCTGGGTAGACAGAAAACCCTACTAGGCTGTGAGAAGGCATGTTCTTTTCCACCTCCCATGGCTGGCCAGTCTGGCTCCTGCTATACACTGACCCAGGCCTCAATGTCTATGAACAAGTGTCTGTTTATGCTCCTACTAGGCAGTTCCACCAGGGTTCTGCTGGGGAAGAGTGGGGGCTGCAGAAATGTGGCCTTTACCCCTGGGGCTCCCCATCTGCTGAGATCTGGGCTAGTCTGGTTCGCAGTCTCAGAGGTCAGGTTGCTTGTGTCCGTGTGTGGAGGACTGTGGGGCTCAGTAGGGTCCTGTGGCCAAGAGGGTGCTCAGGGGGGAGGAGGGAAGCTGCCACTGGGGTTATGTGATGTGTGACGGTTGCACTTCCCGACAGCTGGGAACTGGGCGGGAAGGCTGCCTGGCGGTCCTGGAGGAGACCTTTGCCAAGCAGCTGGTCAGGGCCGCCTTCTCCTCGAAGTCTGGAAGAATTCATGCTGTCCCTTTCCTTGGGGACCTATAACTCTGGGTGCTGCTTGTATCCCGCCCCCTGCCTTGCATCCCCGGCCTCTGCCGCCCCCAGGCCACACACACAGGGTGCTGCATCATGTGGGGTGAGCTCTGCAGGCCTGAGAGGTTTGGGTCTTGAAACCCAGTGACAGGGAGGTGTGGGAGCTTGGCTTAGTCCCTGCACTTTCTGACAGAGCCTGAGGGCACTCAGGGAGAGGTGGCAGATGGGGTGAGCTTGGAGGTCCCCGAGACCCTCTGTCTGACCCAGTTAGGACTCCCCTCCTCCTCATTGGTGGGTTGTGGGCAAGGGGTCCAAATGCCCTCCTCTGCCCTCCTACCTGCATCTCCTCCTCAGCTCCTCTCCCTGGGCCTGCTAGAGGGGCTGGAGGCAAGTAGGGAAGGGAGCAGAGCCCTCTGGGGGCTTGGGTTAGGCCAAAGGCTGGTGGATGAGGGGCTGCCTGGGGCCAGGTCAGAAGTCACAGGAGGTCCTCACTGCCAGATGTGCAAGTGCCCAGGAAGTGGGAGGAGGTGGGGGGGGGAATGGGGAGGCACTTGGGACCTGGATTATGGTGGGATGAACAGGGATCCCACTTTGCCACCCGTGAGTTAGGAAGTCATCTCTGGCCTAAACCCGACTCAAGATGAAAATACAAACAGAGCCCTTTGAAAATCTCCATGGGCTGTGTAAGCAAGACCATTGCACTGGGCGGACCATGGACCAGATGGGGAAACTGAGGCTCTGTGAGGGAGAGATGCTCGCTCAGGGTCACGCCTAGCACCGTGGCAGAGCTGAGCCGGCCCAGGAGCCTTGTCTATCACACCATGCTGCTGTCCCACAAGGGCCAGAGAGGGTAGGGGGGCAGAGGCTGAGGGTCATGGGTTTGAAACAGCTGATGACTGGGCACCCTCTGGACTCTTGGAAACCCAGGGTGGCTCTGTTAGTTGTTGGCAGAGACTGCCTTTTGCCCTATTAGCAAAAAAAAAAAAAAAAAAAAAAATCAGCCCAGTAGAAAAGAGAGTAACCGCAGAGGCGCGTGGGCAGGTGTGCTGGTACCTTCCTCCACTCCAGCTCCACGGCTCCCACCGACCTATTTGGACTGCGTCGATATGGACAGATCGGGCCATCCGGGTTCCTCCATGGGTGGCATGTGCTGGGCCGATCTTGAGGCTTCAGCCGCTCCCTTTACACTTGGAAATTCCAGGATTTCAGTAATGATGCAGCTTAAAAAAATTTTTTTTTAAAAAAGGAGGTCAGCACCTCTGCTGTGTTCGGGACACTGCCTCCCCGTGCAGACCCTGTGGTCTGCAGACCTTGAGGACAGGGAAAGGGTCCTGTGGAAGTGGAGCAGGGGATGCGCTGGCACCTCCAGGGAAGCCATGCTGAAGTAAAGGTCTCTTGGCCGCCGCGCTGTTCTCCTGCAGGACTGTCTGGCTTCATTAAGGCTCATCTATCAGGCTGGCAGCCCGCCTCCCTGCCATCAGCCAGGCAGAGCCGGGCGGTCGGCCACGGTGATTTTCCACTCGGGAAGGGCTGGAGCGGCTGGGCTCATGGGAAGAGATGAGGTCTCAATGCCCTGCAGGCCTGGAGAGGGCCCCAGACAGGGAGGCCCTGCAGAGGCCACCGCAGCTGGTGTGGTGGGGGGGAATCCAAGGATGGCATCCTCTTACCCCTGCTTTCCTCTCTGAAATGGGACTGAAGGCTCAGAGGAGGGAAGGCACTTGTCCTCGGACCCTCTGGACATTGGTGGTAGAGCCGGGCTTGGAACTCAGGCCCTGGGGCCCCAGGCTAGCCATCTTCCTGCCTTCTCTTGACCCTGGGAGGGAGCAGAGAGCAAGGACTCTTGGGCTTGCACACACTGGACAACTGTCTCCTGAATTTTCTATAGACTTCATTTCCATAGGCCCATCCGAGGGGACAGGTGAGGCTATTTTGAGATAATTGGGGTAGAATGTGTCTTCCCTCTCAAACACTCGGACAAACTCGGGACATATTATGGCCCTGCCCTCCCCCTCCCAAGACAGACCTCTTCAGGCTGCACTTCTCTTGGAGGAATTGGACTCTTGAAGAAACTCCTCCCCGCCTAAGAGCCAAGCCAGGCGCCAGATTCCTGGTAGGAGTGTGGCAGATGGGTGTCAGCCACACAGGACCTCCACAGTCACCAAGGTGTCCCTGTGAAAGCTACAGCGAGCTGTGTGGTGAACCTGGAGTGTGTGTGGTACAGGCAGGCTTGGGTGACTTCCACTGTCACCGCCTGTGGGACAAGAACTTGTGCCCTCACCCTCAGCCCTGTTGGCCCTGGGGTAGGTTACATGACAGATGGCAAGACAGGGTGATGCCAGGGCCATCTGACTCAGTGCCCATGTTTCCAGGTGAGCATGGAGGCCAGGGTGGTATGGGGCTGCCCCAGACCTGTAAGTCAGGAGTCAAACCCGGGCCTCTCAACTGTCCAACCGCTGCACACCCCAGCTCTGCTGTTTCCTGGAAAGTCACGTCTCAAACAGAAGAAGGGGAAGGCCCAGGAAGGGTGGAGAGGTCGGAGAAGTTACTCCACGGAAACTAGTGGAAAGAGGGATTTAGGAGTAGAGACAGGGAGGGTCAGAGGGGCGGCGAGCAAAGCCCCCCAGATGGGGAGCAAGAGCTCTTGGTCGTGTGCTGAAAAGACAGGCTCTGAGGCAAAGGGACATTGGCTCCTGAAACCAAGTGCCCAAGACAGTTGGTTCTGCTCTCCTGGCTCCCTTCCCTCCCTCCCTCCCTCCCTCCCTCCCTCCCTCCCTCCCTTCTTTCCTTCCTCAGTGTTTATTCTTTCCTAGTTCTTACCAACAGTGTGACCTTGGAAAGATCAAGTGTTGGGGCCTCAGTTTCCCCATTTTAAAAGGGGATGATAAAAGGTCTTACCTCATGGGGTGCTTTCATGATTTGATGTCATGATACAGAGCATATAACACCCACTCAATATGTGTTGGCTTTTATTTTTTATTTTATTTTATTTTTTGAGAAAAAAGGAAAAGAAGTTTTATTGCTTTTCTAGCAAAGGAGAAACAGAGGGGACTCCTGTCCCAAAGGCTGATTCTACCCATCAGCAGGAACAGGGGGCTTTTAAAGAGGTGATCCGAGGCTGCATTCCACAGGGTCTCTGTGGTGCGTTGGCTTTTTAGACCTTCCTTGTTGCTCCACTGACGTTTCCAACCGAGGATGACCTGCTCCGGTCGGTGGGCACAGAGAGCACAGGGTTCGGAAGGCTTCCCTTGATTTCAGACATGGAGGTTTTGCAGCACAGGTGTGAGCCACGCGCACCTTTGCTCAGCTCCTACCCAGGTCAGGTGTTCTAATCTGGAGCAGTGGCTATGCCAGGAGGGCTGTGTTGTTGCCAGAGGTCCCCTCCCTGGACACACAGTGAGTAGGCGTGACGGGGGCAGGAGGGAGCAGGAACGCTGGCGGGCACCATCAGCAACAGCTCAGCTGTGGACAGGGCCCAAGAGCAGGATGGATGTAAGACTCAGATGTGCGATCGACAGGACGTGGCAGGACATGGAATGACCCAGGGGATGTCAGAGACCACATTTGTGGGTTCTGATTCCAAAGAGATAAACGTCCAATTCTTTCTCCTTTGTCCCACAAGCTCTGCTCTCCTGGCCCTCTTGTCCTTGGCGTGGCCTCTCCTGAAACCTAGAGCAGTGTTTTCTCAACGTTGTTTTCCTTATTAGCGGGTGACCTGGGCCGGGGCTCCCGATAGCTCGGGTCGTCCGGTTTGGCGATCGCACCGTAACCGTTTCCTGTGAGGAACACGATGGGCTTCCTGAGCCCGAAGGAGCAGGCAGTGTGCTGGTTCATTTCCCTGAGTGCCTGAGTGCCCGTCTGAAGGGTCTCCAGGGGCAGGAGCTCGGGGCCAAGTTCACGCTGGATGCTGGGGGTCTCCCCTTCTGTGGATTTGACCCAAGCGGGGACTTGAGTTTTTTCACTGGACAATAGTGACAGGAACTGTTGGTGCCAGGTCTCGAGTCAGGGGCCTCCCAACCATCATCTCATTTAAAGTTCCCAGCACCAGCAGAGAGGAATCACTGTCGTTGCCCATTTCTGGATGGGGAAACTGAGGGAGCTGGGGTCCTATCGCCTCTTGTTTTACCTTAGTGGGGCCACAACAGCTTGTCTGTGGGTCCCTGGCTCTATGTCCCAGGCACTGGTCAGCGATGGCTTGCTGCTCACCATGGTGGCTATGTCCTGGTCTCCTGATTCCCTTCTTCTGCCCTGGACAGGAGGGAGAAACGCCACTACTGTCTCCCTTACACACTGAGGTATGGAGCTCAGAGAGATTTGGTGCCTGGAAACCTGGGACCCCCCACTTTGCACTCCTCTGACCCCAGGAGAGTCTTCATCAAACCCCTTTGTCTGTTAGGAAGAGAGAACCAGTCACACTAGCTTTTGTATGAATTTAGAAACAATTCCCAGCCTGCAGGAGAAGGCCAGACAGAGCTCTAACAAGCCCTGGAAATGTCAAGTGGAAAGAAACATCTATATTTGGTTGTCTCCCATCCACCCTCTCGTTCCCTCCACACACCAGGAACCTCTTAGTCACCATTTTTATTGCAAGAGAGCTCTGTAATTGTGTGTGTGTGTGTGTGTGTGTGTGTGTGTGTGTGGTGCTGGGGATTAAACCCAGTGCCCAGTGCCTTGTATATGCTAGGCAAGCCTCTACCACTGAGTACATCCCCAGCCCTTTCAAATTTTTTTTTTTTATTTGGAGACTGTGTCTCACTAAGTTGCCAGCCTGGACTTCAACTTGCGATCCTCCTGCCTCAGCATCCTGAGTAGCTGAAATTTCAGGCGTGCTATGCCGGTTAAAGTTCTTTTGTGCCTAGACTGTGCCCTGCCTGGTCTCCTGTTCTGCCCCACCCCTCTGACCCTTCCTTGTTGGCCTCCCTGGTACCACAAATGGACCTCATCCTTGGCTACTTGCCCCTTCTTCATCTTCTGTCTGGGAAATCTGTGCTGAGCCCCGCCCCCCTTCTGTAGTTCAGTGGGCCTGACAGTTCCACCTGGGGATCCACGTGCACCCCTTGCTCTGTAAGTCAGAGGTGCAGCGTGTCACCGCCCACCACATCTGCCTCCTCCAGCCACACGCTCCTTATTTCGGCTGGTGGCACCAGCGTGTAGCCCAAAGCCACAAGGGTCAACCTGCCTCCCCCTCCCCCTCCTCCCACACTCTGTATCTAAGCATCCAGCAAGCCAGGCTACACCACGTCTCCTGTCCTGCCGGCACCCTCCGGGCCCTGCCAGGTCTCCTGGGTCCCCTGCTCCAGTGCCTTGGCTGCCTCCACCAGCACCCGACTCCTGGGTCCTCCCTGGCTCTCATCCACAGAGGGCCTTCCTCCCCGGGCGTGGCCATGAAGTTCCCAGGCTGCAAGTGATCCTCTGGGAGTCAGGGGAGAAGAGCCATCTGCACAAGGGCCGCCTGGGCATCCCCATGGGCTGGGCCGCCTCTGCTTCTTGTGCCGTGGGCGTTGACGCATTCCTGCTTGTCCTTCTTGTTCTCAGGCAGCTGCAGCCTTCAGACACCCACAGGACCCGCTGCCTCACCCTGGCCATTGCAGACATCCTGTGGCGGGCTGGGGGCCGACAGAGAGCTGTGGTCGCGCTGTAAGTGGTTCCAAGGGCCACGCCAGCCGCGGTGGCAGGCAAGCTGTTTGCAGCTCTCCTGTCTGTGGGGTGGATGGACTGTGTTTGGGGAGCCCAGGGATAGGCCAGGGCACAGACCCTCTGCACAGCTCTGCTGACTGCACGGGCTGCAGCCCTCACCTGGGAAGGTATGCTCCTGTCTGCGCAGCCTGCCTCCTTGGGAGCTCTGGGAGCCCCTGAGAACCTGTGGCCCAGGTACCCACTTCCCCGCTGTATTCCCGGGGGCCTTAGAAACAGCCCCTCAGGTTGACCCAGCTGCTCTCCCTGGTCCCCCCAGGATTGGCATTTCCCTTGAGAGGTGAGCAGAGGATGGTGGAGCCCAGCCCTGGATGCTGTGCCCTGACCCACCTGGGCTCTTCCCTGTGGCCTCCGTCCTGCCCCACACAGTCCGCAGAGCTCACTGGCTGCCTCTTCTCCTCGACCCCTCAGAGCGGAAGCATCCCTTTGTCCTGGCCCTACCACTGAGGACATCCCCAGCCACAAAAAATTTCAATTTTTTTAAATTTGTGGCTTAACTTTAGCAAAGGAAGTAATTTTGGGGGCTAAGAAGCACACTCTGGGGTGCATGTTGGTCACTGTAGCATAGGGTTTATGAGAAGGAACTCTCTGAAGCTGTTGCTCGATGGCTATGTGACCTTAGGCAGCTAACTTCACCTCTCTGTGCCTCATGTTTACTTGTTTAGAAAATGAGGATGATGGTAATGATTACTTAATAGGATGGTTGTGAGAACTAAATGAGTCAGTATAAATAAATAATATGCAATAAATATAATAATATTATTCATCTGAATCATTTATCAGTATAAATTGGTGATAAATAATAAATATAAAGTGCTTAGGACAGCGCGTGGCATACACTAAGCATCACAAAAGTAGAGGTGAGATATCATCGTCATTATTGTTGTTGATGACCTTTTTAAAAAAATTTTTAATTGTAAATGGACACAATACCTTTATTTGATTTATTTATTCTTATGTGGTGCTGAGGATCGAACCCAGCGCCTCACACATGCTAGGCAAGCACTCTACCACTGAGCCACAACCCCAGCCCCTATTACCTGTCTTGTACTGTGTTCCAGGGAGCTTATTAACCTAGGCCCTTAGCATCTATTGCAGCAGCTCTAAGAGCAGATGAGGTAGGAATTGTATTTCTGCCTGTTTTAGAGATTCAGAAACAGAAGCCCAGAGAGGGAAGGTGGCTGATCCATGGCCACACAGCAGCTAGTGGTACAATGGGTCCCCAATCCGAGCCCTACACTTGTCCATGCCACACTGCTCTGCACACCAAGGGAAGTTAACCAAGGGGTCGCAGAGAGGAGGCTCCAGAGGCAGAGCTGGGATCCCCCATTAGTGGACACGAGGGCCAACGTTGCCAGCCAACATTCCCGTGGGCAGGCAATCCTCAGTTGTGGTGGGAGTCAGGCTTCCCACTGCCAGGGTGTGGGTTTGGCTATTCCAAGGGCACACCCTGCTCTTTTTTTTTTTCATTCTTTCTTTTCCCCCCTCCCCCGTGAGTCCCCTGGACCCAGGCTAGGAGGTGAGTCTGCAGCAGGGAAACCCGAGACACCTTTGGCTCCTTCTGTCCTCGGCAGCCACCTTCCATTTGTCCTCAGGGGAAGGCACATGCGGTCCTGTGCTGGCGGGAGGGCGTTCTTTCCTGGCAGAGGACTCACGCACCGTCTTTTCCTTTTTAGGTCTTCGGGAAGCGAGCAGTTCAGCCCAACAGGGAAATACAAAGCCGACGGAGTCTTAGAAACAGTACGGCTTTCTGGAAAGTTATCACGCAAACTTTGGCTTTGTTTGGGGACTGTCTCCTTTCCTATAAGTAAATCCTCCCACAGCTGGGGATGCCCGGGCCCTTCCTGCAGCCCGTGCCCACCGTGTCCACGCCCCCCGGGTTGGGGAGGGGACAGAGGTGTTTGGCTTTGGGGGTGGGCGGCTGCCAGCGCTGGTTCTGTGGCCAGTGACTCCCGACACCTCAGGGGCGCGCAGGCCTGGGGTCCCCAGCAGCCTGTACACAGCACCCCGGGCTGAGCCCCAGCCCTCCCCCAGGTCCCTCTTCCTCTTTCTCCAGCCTCTTTTCTAAGACCTGGGGGGTGGGGGGTACAATGGTGCCAGTCTGCAGAGGGGAGGCAGTTAAAAGGTGGGGAAGGACTTTGATAGCATGGAGCTCCTGCCACGAAGCCAGACGTCCATGGTACAGAGTGAAAAAATGGGAAATGTACTGTTGGTTATTTTGAAAATACAAAAGCTGTGAAGTTAAAAAAAAAAAAAAAGAAAAAGAAAATCCTGCCGTCTGTTTAGAATCTTCTGTTTTTACTTTTTGGCACCAGGGATTGAACTCAGGGGCACTCGACCACCGAGCCACATCCTTAGCCCTTTTCTGTATTTTATTGAGAGACAGGGTCTCACCAAGTTGCTTAGCTCCTCACTTTTGCAGAGGCTGGCTTTGAACTCGTGATCCTCCTGTCTCAGCCTCCTAAGCTGCTTGGATTACAGGCGTGCAACACTGCCCCTGGCTAGAATTTTCATTTTAACCCACTTGTTTTATTTGACCTAGCTTTGGGCCAATGTGACCCTGGGACCCTAATTAAGGGCCTCACTTGGCTAATTTTTTTTAAAGCGTTTTTTTTTTTTTTTCCCTCTCAGACCTGCCTGAGTAAACAAAAGGGACTCATATTTGCTGCTTTCCAATAACTCTGGACCTGGCCTGTTGGGCTCCCCTAGCCTGGCATTGTGATTTGGATGTGCTAGCCTCCTCAATCCCCGGACTCTTCTCAGCTATGACTGGCATGCAGGGTGCAGCCCTCCCTACGGCCACGTGCAATGCTGGGTCCTGTGCTTAGTCCCACAACCTGCGACATTCTTGGGGTTCTAAAGGTGGGCCCAGGGCTGCTGCTGGGCACTCACCCCCAGAGACCCTGGCTGTTCTGGGAAGCCGTGAGTTGCATTAGATGTGGGGCATGTCCCAGCGCCAGCTCTGCAGGTTGCTACTCTCAGCCTAGGGAGGGTCACAGTGGGGTGTGTAGTGGCTGAAGCCAGGGCCACAGGCTCTGACCGGGATTGGGATGGGCTTGGCCCCGAGGAAATGGCAGCTCACAAGTGTGTGTTCCTTCCCAGCTCACACTGCACAGTCTGACCTGCTACGAGGAGCTGGTGACTTTCCTTCAGTACAGCATTCATCAGGTATGAACCGTGGCGTCTGCTTGTGGGATGGGCAGTGTTGAGCCTTCTGGTTTCATTGTAGGAGAGATGCTGGTGACCTGGAGCTGTCCTCTCCATCAGCCAAGATGGCAGGAGGGCACGTGGGCCTCTGGGTGGTGCGTTGAGGATGATGGGTGATGTGTCTGGAGAAGGGTGGACTTGGGGCAGGGGTTCCAGGCTCTCCATCGCATCCTCGTGGGCTGGTCATGGACACAAGTTAGCTTTGGGGCTGCAAAGAGCAGGGCTAGGACTGGTGGGGTTGGAAGAAAGAGAAGCAGCAATTAGATGGTGGCTGCAGAGCTGTCTCTGTGTCCAGGAGCAAGCACCCTCCTCTGGAGCTCTGTGTTAATGGGTGTGTCCCGGGACCAGCTGGGAGAAAAGGAAGTGGCTTCCAAGTCAGGGTTGGAGGGCAAGCAGTGCCCATGGGGACACTGCTTGGGACAGGACCTCATCTGGTGTCCTGGGGAGGCTGGATTGGCCCAAGCAGGGACCCTGCAGTGTCCAGTCTGTAAACTGTACAGCCACTCTCTACTGTGAGCTAGGAGGGACGTGGCCAGGGTCAGGAGCAGTGCAGCCAGAGGGATCTTGGAGTTCCCAGTGGGGCTGTGGCAGCCTGGCTTTGCAGAGGAGGAGGTTACACTCTCCAAGGGCAGAGGACTCGGCCTCCAGAGATAATTGGCCTGAATTTGGATCCGGGTTAGCTCCCTACTAGCTCTGAGGCCTCAGACAACACATGGAGCTCCTCTGCCCCTCAGTTTCTCCTCTGCCAGACATGGGGAATAGCGGCATCTGCCTCAGGGCCTTGTGTAGCATGTCAGGACTTGAGCAATGTCCTCATTCATTGTGGGCGTCCATTGTCACCGTGGTTTAGGGCCACCTTGGGATGGGCGAGCCATAGACATGTAAAAACAAGAGGGAAATCTTACAATGTGAGCTAAGACCAGGAGACTGGACCCCCCTGCCTTCTTGCTTGCCCACATGCAGCCTTGCAGAGGTCCCTGGGTCTCAGTTTCCTCATCTGGAAGGTGAAGGACTGCAGATTCCAGCTCCAATAGAGGTGGTCAAGGAGAAACTTAAACACCGGGAGGCATGTTTTCCAAATGGAGTATAGGCAGTCTGAATCAGCAGGAAGGGGGCCCCCTGTTAAACCCAGAGTGCACCTGAGAGACTTATGAACCCAGTGTGGGGACTCCACCAGGGTGGCCAGGACTAAGGTCACACGTGTCACATCCTCAGATGAGGCAGGGCCTGGAGCTACCTAGTCAGGCAAGGGAAGTGATTGCTGAGGCTTATGGGGCCAAGGAGAGGCTCCAGGGAGATCATTCCAACGGCCCAAGTTTTGGAGGTCTTATAACTGTCCCCAAAGGTTCTGGCTGCCCAGCAGTGCTAGGGCCTCTGTATCCCTACCTGTAACATGGGTCTCACCCTTGGCCTGTGTCCCTGGGTTTCAGTGAAGCCTAGGCATGAAAATGACTGTGAAAGGGACTTGGAGAGTATGGCTGCTGCAGGGAGAGAGACACTCAAGGCCTCTGGCCTCGAGCTGTCCATCCCTGGCCAGCTTTGGCTCCCTGCTTCTGCCGGTCCATTCAGTATTTGGCCCTTCTCAATCTGGCAGCCAGAGTCTCCCCCTGAAGCTTGATTTATGTTTTTGCTGGAAGCAGCGGAGCTGCCTCAGCACTAGGTTCACCAAATCCATTTTTCATGGGCTGGGTCTCAGAGGGGCTCCTGGTGCCAGGCCTGGAAATGTACACCAAACCGTCTCTGCCCAAAATAAATAGCCTCCTTGCTGGGTTTTCATTACCGCTCACCTCTGGGTGAGGTGTCTGGCAGACCCCGGGCTGGCTCAGGGATACCCCCGCCCCCACGGCCCACTGAAGTCCTTTGGAGGGCTCAGGTCTCTCCAGGGCCGGAGATCTGGGGTGGAAGAATGGCCCCTTCTTCCCGAGTGGCACCAGACATGGTTCCGGCCCCTAAGTGAGGTTTCCGGACCAACTGCCTGCCGGGGCTCGCCTTTCCAGCCGGCGCCTTGCCCCGTGGCCTCCCAAGTCTTGGCAGCTTGAATTTGATGAGATAATTTTAATAAATGTTTTCAAAAGCAAAATGGAATATTGCTGCCATTCACTGTGTTCTGGCAAGGGCAGGAAGCCCCAGGTGGGGTTCATCTCCCCAGCCTCTGCAGAGGGCTCAGGGTAAAGGCTCTTGAGGGTGGGCCAAGGACTGGGCAAATGCCCACCCAAACCTCCCCATAGTTTCACAGCCAGCTAGGGCTCACCAGGACTTCCGTGTCCTTCCTCATCTCAGTCCTGTGGTCTGTAGGTATCACAGGCACGTGGAGGGGAGACAGACCTCAAAAGTACCAGGGCTTCCCCCAAACAAGGTGTGGGTCCATGGCAGCAGTGCGTAGGTATTCCAGAAGGAAAGGCCAGCATGCAGGTCAGCAGCAGAGCTGTGTCACAGGTCTGCAGGTCCAAGCCCCCCCACCCCACCCGCAGGTGTGTATCCTCTTTTGCAGGACATCCACATAACTCTGCAGTGGTCAGAACATGTCTGCAGACACTGGGGAAACTGAGAGTAACAGAAGTGAAGCAATTGGGTTGAGATCACAGAATTAAGGGAAGGGTAATTTAAGATGGACGTGGATCCATTCATTCATTCATTCATTCATTTGTATTTCCCCAAACTGGGCTCTTCTAGGCCCTAGCACAGTGAACTTGCCCGCTCTTGCTTTAGGGCCTGTGCACATACCTCCCATGCTATGAGTGGTGTTCACTTCTCTTCTGATTCCTGGGGTTTGTATTTAGACATCAGGCCTCCATAATACCTTCCTTGGGCCTCCTCCCTCCCTGAGCTTGATGTCTGTGGATATGCTCCGTGGTGTTCCTGTGCTTTGCCCCTTCTGTCACTTGGGCTGGTGCATCCCTATGATGAGGGGATCTGGCTGGTGAGACCTGCCCAGGGTCTGTCCTGTGGCCACCTGATGGGAGGCTGTGAGTCCAGGAGCCCCCCAAAGAGTGTCAGGCTGAGGGCTGGAGGTGTGTGGAAGGTACTCACTTCTCTCTCCTTTCCCAGTTCCAAGCAGGCCCCTATGGATGCATCCTGCTCACCCTGTCTGCCATCCTGTCCAGGTCCCTGGAGCTGTGAGTATCTTTCTCTGTCAACTCCCTGGGCGGGGGCTATCTGTGTCTCCCTGTGCCCCTTCCCCAGAGCCCAGGGCAGGGCTTGGTGCTTAGTGAGGCAGCAGAGGAGGGGAAGCGCTGGTGGAAGAGCAGAGCAGGCCCGTCCTACATATTCCAAGGTCCCCTTCTCTGTGGTGTCCCCACTTATGCTGGGCACAACTCAAGAGGGACCTCTGCAAGCTTGCATGTGACTGCTGTGTGCACATTTAAGGCTCTCATCCTTGCTACTTGTGCAGGGGTGGACAGTGAGGCTGAGACCTGGGAAATGGCTGCAGACCCCGAGTTCAGGGCAGGGTCTCTCTGTAGGCCAAGACTGTCCTGCAGCCGCCAGCAGGCTACTGGGAGTCCTGGGCGGTACCCAGAGGGAGAGGTAGGAATGCCAGTGGCCCTGACTTTCTTCTGCTGGACCCCGGGCTCCTAGGCTGCCCTAGAGCTGAGCCCTTCCATGAAACTGATTCCCTCGGAGCCTTCTAGGCCTCTTGTCTGTATTTACCACCTGGGCATCGTCCCTAGGGAGCACAGCAGGAGAATAGTACAGGGATAGTTTTGTAAAGTACACTTGGTGGTGGCATCACTTGGCAGGCAGGCAGAGCTTGAGATGGAGACCCAGAGGAGGGGACTTGGGAAGGTCCAAGGTCCAAGCACCTTGGGAAGGTGCTTTATAGGGAAGATTTCGGAACGACTCCCAGCAGGTTTGGGAACTGCAAAGTCCCTGGGCAGCTTTGAGGTGCACAGGCAGGAGAGGCCCTGGCAGAAGGACATGTTTGCCCTCCTGCCCTGGCTGGGCCCCGCTGGCCTGTGGCTGCTCCCCCAGGGTCTCTGCTGCAGGCGGGAGGAGGACTGCGGGGCTCTGTGGGACCTCGTGTGCTGGCCTGCCTGCTGCCTGCTGCTACTGACCTTATTAAATCGGTGTGTGCACAGCGCTTTCTAATGGCATTTTTCTTCTAATCCTGCCATAATGATATAATTCATTCCTGGCGTGAGCTCACGTGCATGGAGACCATAAGCCGCCGGCCCTCTCCCTGAGCCTGGTTTGCTAATCCCTGGGCTGGAGGTGTTGGGGGGGGGGGTTGTCTTCTGGCCTCACTGGGGAAGCCTGCACTCTCAGGTGGGCCAGGCTTGGTAGTGCTGGCCTCAGCTTCCCCATCTGTGCAGGGGACCTTCTGCCCTGCGTCTGGGCTCCGAGCTTGAGTGATCACAAGCAGTCTATTTATGTGCGGTCTCCTGTGTGGAGTCTTCTCCTTCTAGATGGGGCCTTGATGCCCCCTGTCCAGAACACTCTTCACATGGGTCAGAACTGGAGGACTTAGGCCACTGCTGCCCCTCCCTGTCCCATCCAGTGGAGCTGGGCAGCAGTGGTGCCCTGTCCAGATTGTGGCACCTAATGGGCATCAGGGTGGGGAATTCTGCCCCACAGCCTAGACTGCACAGCCTCATGTGCATGGCCTGAAGTCACAGTCCTGTCAACACACACACACACACACACACACACAGAGGCATAGACACACACACCGACACACATAGATACAGTCCAGCTGCTCCCTCAGGGCCCTGAGGACCTACTATGGGCCCTGCAGCAGGTATCCTGAGGCTCTGGGTGCAGGCTGGGCCTCCTCAGGCCTCTGCCTTCCAGAGGACCCAGATAGAGACCTGTGTGATGTTGGCTGCACAGGTTGGTTGTCATTCCTCTGTCTCTCGCCTTCCCCTTTCCTTAGAGGACAATACAGAGGAAGTCCTATTAGCAGTAAGGATAATGGCAACCAGCATTATGAAGCTCCCTGTGTGCCCAATCCTTTTCTTTGAACCTCTTGATCCTCCATGACAACCAGTTAGGCGGGTGCCACTGTGGTCCCCATGGCTTAGGGCAGGGAGTGGTTCCCCCCAAGGTTACACAGCAAGTGAACCTGACAAACAGGGTTCCCCCAGGTGATCTGGCCCAAGCCAGAGCTTTTGGTTTGTGCTTAACAGAGCTGAGCCTGGGAGTAAGACAGGTTCATTAGGCCTGGTCACTCCTCGGGCTCTTTCCTCGGGGAACCAGGTTATCACGGCTCCTGCAGGGTGGGAGCCTTTAGCAGTGGCTGCTGCAGGACCATGAGCTCGTGTGTTTTCCTATATTTTCTTGCCTCTGGCTTGTCTTGGTGTCCCAGGTGGAGGCTACCAGGCCTCCCCAGTAGATGCAGCCATGAGGATATGCCAGCCAGCTGGGCGTGGAGGTGCACACCTGTAATCCCAGAGGCTCAGGAGGCTGAGGCAGGAGGATTGTGAATTCAAAGCCAGCCCCAGCAACTTAATGACGCCCTGAGCAACTCAGCAAGACCTTGTCTCAAAATGAAAAAAAAAAAAAAAAAAGGGCTGGGGATGTGGCTCTGTGGTTAGTGCCCCTGGGTTCAATCCCTGGTACCAAACAAACAAACAAAAGGATGTCCTGAAGTTCATGGTGGTCCTCTGTGGTGATGTGGTGAAGTGGCAGGTCCTTCCTGAGCATCAGTGGGCTTCCCGGGCACAGAGTACCCTTGCTTGGTTGGACCCTGCTGAGGGGTAGATGGAGAGACCCAGCTAAGGACCTGGGGTAGAGGCAAACTTGAGCAACCAACTCTGATTTGTTCAAGTTCAAGAAAACATTTTGTTAGACTGAGGGCTTCAGGTAAGAACTCGACCTCAGGCCACCCAGGGGTCTCTGGGGCTGCTGCAGATCTGAGCTCTCTCGTGACCACTGTGCTCATGTCCACAGGGCTGCTCAAGATGGGGCATCAGCTGACCCTTCCCCCACCTGTGGTCCAGGGGTTTCCTGAGGAGGAAAGACAGGGATGACAATGAGCACAGGGACAGCGGCAGCCCCAGTGCTGGCCAGATCCTGAGAGTCCCCCTGAAGCCACTTCACATAGCACGCTTACATTCTTGGCACTCATAGAGGTTTCCTGTGAGGAAGGCATCCTCTCACCTTCCTAAGCGGAGTCCCTGCAAGCATCCTCTCCCTATTATAAACCAGTCACATTGCACAACCACGTGGGTCCCTCTGTCCCCTGGCACCCCACCTTGGCCCTCTGAAGGCTTCCTGTCGTCCATGGCGATGAGGACTATTCCTGAGACTGGGAGACCCACTTCCGGCCTGCTGCCTCCTGGTGAGCAACAGGCAAAGGCCTTTCTTATGGACACTGAGACTGGCAGGTGCCAGTGTCATCCTGCTCAGTCACCGTGTGACCTGTGCAGAGACACCCAGCAGGGTGGTGCGTCACATGAAAGCTTGCACTTGGTGACTTTGATGTAGCATCAGGATGTCTGGGTTCCCCTTCTCAATTCAGCTGCCCACAAGCCATAGGCTGACTCAACCTGTGTCTTAATTCTTTATTTCCAGAAGGACAGGGTTGGGCTAGTACTTTTTAGACTCCTTATTGTGAAAATCTGATTAGTTTTAAAACATCTATTTAAAGGTCAAGGAGTTAAGAAAATGCAACAGGATGACTTTGATGGGTGCAGATGTGATAGGGACGGGGAGGCCCCTGACTCCCAATAAGGCATCAACCTGCCCCCCGCCATGGCCCAGGGACCCCTCTTTGGAGAAGCCCCAGCTCTACAAACAACCCAGCTTCAAAACCTTGGGAGCAGATGATCAGACTCTCTGTGGAGTCCAGAGTCAGCTCTGCAGAGAACCCTTTGATGCTGCTTCCTACTGGCCTGTGATTACTTTGCACAGTAGTTGAAAACATGTCCTGGGAACCCAGCGAGATAGCAGAATCCAAGATCAAATGCTGTTCAGCCAGGGAGAAACGGAGTGGAGGGCTGGGCAGACCTACCTGATCCCTCCAAATGCAGTGTGTGTGGATGGGTGACATCGCGAGACTTGTGGCTGGATGGGAGGTGATGTGGGTGTGGATGGTCAGCTGGAGATTGGTGAAGGGTGACATGATTGTGAGTGTGTGACAGAGGATCTGAAGCCCGGAGGCCGCCCTGCACCAAAGTCAGTGCTCCTGGCTGAAGGCCACTCCTAAGCCAGAACAGAGCCAGGGCCGGGTGCCATGGCAGATGTAGTCCCCGCCGAGCACAGCCCAACCACTCCAAAGAACAGTCGAGAACAGGCCTTTGAGGTTTGTTTACTCGGGCTGTGTGCAGAGTCTTGCAAAGGGTTTATTTTTTTTCCACTTGATTTCAAGCCGTTTATTTTCTTTCTTAAGATCTCCAGTTGCTTACAGTAAATCTCATGCCTGATTTCATGTTCTTCTTGGTCTGCTGCTTCCCCCCAACACACATGGATAGAGCCTTCCCCAGGGAGCTCTCACAAGCCCAAGATGCTCAGGGCCCTGGGGGTCATGGCCAGCTCTGAGACAGGACCGGGCAGCCCAACACAGGGGGTGCAGCAACCCCCCGGGGGGGCACCCAGACCTGGCCTACCGTAGACTGATGCTCACGGGTGGCTTGGGCCTTGGTTAAGAAGGTGGGGAAGAAGCTTATGTAGAAGGCCTTCCCCATGCCCCTCGGCCTTCAGTCCAGTGACCACCCCAACTGCCCAAAGGCAATCTGAAAAGTCCACAAAGGATGTTAGCTTGTTATTGGCTGAAGGGTTGGGGGAGGACCCGTGCAGCATCTGCACCATGGTGACTTGCTCTCAAAACTCTTTTGAGAGATTAAAAACAACAGGGACAACCAACCAGTTTCTTTCTTTAAGGAAATAGCCCTAAAATGGATGACAACTATGAGAATTGGTTGCAAAAGAAAGTGAAAGAAACTCGCTTCTTACCAGTGCAACCAGAAAACAAAGCCACTGTTATCAAATACCTGGACTTCAGGAGTGGCTAGATCCAGGAAGTACATACTGTGCCTGGGATTTGTGTCCCTTCTCTATCTCCTCACTATTCTCCCCTGAGTCCCAGCTGTATTCTCAGGAAAGCCTCCTGCATGGGGACTCCAATAACTCCATAGCCTGCCAGGTGACAGGCACCGGATGCCATCACCATGGCTGGGCC